CTTGATTTAACTGGGTGTAATTGTATTTATTAATTGTTGAGCGATATTAAATGGTGATCTTATAGTCTTACTGTGCATATCATTGGTTGTTTTATGTTGCCTTGTTGTGATATCACTGATTGAGTTGTTGTTATCATTGTTAGTTATTTTCCAGTACCATTGTATACTGCTATATTGCACAGGGTATTAGACTAGTGAGTGTCTTGACTGTACCTCGTCTCTACTCCATTGAGGTTAGTCTTGATACTTACTGGGCACCGCTGTGGTGTGCTCAATCTACACTTTTGCACATTTTTGTGCAGAGCCAGGTATTGTTATCGATAACAGACTTGAGCAGAGTTAAAGTGGGGTCTTAAGGATTCAAGGTAGAGCTGCTTGGTCGTCGCAGTTCCTTGGAGTCCTTTCATTTCATTGTACTGTTAACTTGTAATCAAACAGTATTGTATATTCGGTTCTCGTGATCATTCTATGTATTCAGTTAGAGTTCGTGACTAAGTACTACCAGTCTTGGGAGGTTGTATATTGTAATTATTTCCACTGTTAGTTTTGGTTACTTATTTAATTAAAAAAAAATGGCTTCAAAAATGAAATGGAAATCGGCTTACCTAGTCTTAGAGACTAGGTGCCATCACGACGCCTGTGGTGGGATTTTGGGTCGTGACATTGTGTTTTCTCCTTTTCTTTTACTTTTTTCTTTCTTCTTTCCTTTTTTTTTTTTGTTCTTTCTTTTTTTTCTTCTTTTTGTTTTCCTTTTTTTTCTTACAATGTTTCTCACCGGAAAAAAGGTGATTCCGATGGTGCCATCTTTCTGATAAGTCATCTCCACCATTTATTGCCCCGTTCCCACAGATTTAGAAGATCATTTTCACGCTAGTCAAAAGATGCTCATAAAATTTTATCTTTTCTATTATTTTCAGGCAACCTTTTGATTTAAGATAAGAGTTTCTTGATGGGTGATGGGTATCGACGACGAGGAGCAGGGGGCGGGGGATGTTACGGGTATAAGGGGGAGAAAATGGTGAAGCAAAAGAAAGAGATAAAGAGAAAGAAAATGCAAAAGAAAAAATAAAATAAGACAAAAAAGACAAATAAAAAGGTAAATTGAAAAAAAAAATGAATTTGACAAGTGGCAAGCAAGGATTGGTGTGTAATTTGAACTTCTTTTTTTATTCAAACTGGGATTGGCTTGAAAAGTTGGTACTTATTACACTTCTAACAAATACAGGGGAGTCATAAGAGAAGTATGAGGGTGCAACTGATAAAGTGCGACAACCCTAAAGGGGTAATTATGTATTATCCCTTTAAAGAATGCAAGATCAATGCCCAGATATTCCACTATGCATGTTCGTTTCCGCCTCATGTGATGCGATTCTGCTGTTGCCCACTCAGGCCCGACATTCCACCTCTACCTCTACCCCTTCCCATCGGCGGTTGCATACCTTGTTCACGAGGGTGTGCCGTCGATAAAGAAGCTGTTGTTGATCCCACTGGCGGCATCACGCCACCCATACTTCTCACTGGGCAAAAGCGCATGATATGATCAGGCTGCCCACAAGAATAACACAAATCTGAGCCCTGGCGGCAACGCCCAAAATAATTCCTTCCACATCCGCCACAACGTGGCATCGGGGATCTCATCCTGCTAGTGTCTCCACTATTCTGCGAACTCTGCCCTCGAAAATCCCGACCCTGACCGGAATAAGTGGCCCGTTTTCGATACTGGCCCTGGGACTGTGACGGCACATTGGCCACCGAGCTTGGTGACTGCCGAGGAAATGGGGATCTAAACCCGCCTCGAAGCTCTCCCGTATCTCCCGTGGACCGGGCCCTCTTAGAGACCCTGGTCGTGCTCTCGAGCAGCTTGCTGTAGCCTTTTGCGATCCTCTATGTTCTGTGCGTAGGCCTGAATACGAGTAATATCCATAATCGAGTTCAGAGAAGTTGTGGTGCATTCATTTATCAGATGCGACCCCAAACCGGCCATGAAGCAATGCACCCGGTCACTCATCTCGGCCACCACCGATGGAGCATACCCAGCCAAGGAGTTAAACTGCATGATGTACTCCCGGACGCTCATATTACTTTGCTCCATCCGCAAGAATTTGTCTTGTCTAGCCCGGTGGAGTTCAACAGGCATATACTGTTGCAAGAATGCCTCAGAAAATTTCCTCCATCCCGCAACTGGGGCTAGAGGTCCCCTAGACTGTTCCCAAGTCTCATACCACACAACCACTATATCCCTCAACCAGTAAGAGGCAAGTTCTACGGACTCAGTATCAGTGGCATGCATCACTCGTAAGGTCCGCTGCACTTGATCTAGAAAGTTATGAGGATCTTCGTTTGGATATGTTCCTGTGAATACCGGGGGGTCTACATTTATGAAATCTCGAACTCTTGTACTGATTGCTTTATCTGAAGTGGCAGGGGCTTGACGTTGGGCATGAGAGGCCACTAACCGAGTTAACAACTGCGCTGCACTTCTCATATCTAGATCCTGTTCAGGCTCATCCGGGGGAGAAATATGAGGGACATTAACTTCTCTATGTTGTTCCGGGGGTGGTGGTGCTGTCACCAAAACCTGTGTCCCAACCTTATCGTGGGGTCCATGTTGACCCATCAGGGCAGGCGACACCTGACTGGTACCTTCTCCTGCTTCTTCGTTCAATCCTTGGGCAAGTGCTTGACGTCTCGTGGTAAGCACTGCTATAAACACAAGCAAGATGAGAATTAGAAGCGAATACTTATGACTCAGCTCTATCACACGATCTAGATTAGAAAGAAGGGTATTATTCATCCAGGATATCTTGTAGCCTCCTGTTTATAAGATTGGTGCACAACATACTCATAAACAAGACTCTACTGGATACAGCTTGCAGACATCCTAGGATACGACTGGCTCTGATACCAAATTTGTCACACCCCAATCTTGGAAGGTGTGACCGACACACGATGCCCGGAGGCCCGTGCGAACCGACATCCGTGCTTACATCCTTCTTATTCATAAAATTTGGGCCGTCGAGGCCTCCAAATAATAGTCACCAAAATTAAGATGTGTGCAATTGATTAACAAAAGAAACATTGACATTTTATCATGATTATCACTGTCACCAACATCGTCATACTCGACCATTAACACTAGTCTGCAAGCCTCTAAGAGTACTAAAAGAGATATACATATTACATCACCTGGTCGGGACAGGGCCCCACCGTACCCAAAACGTTTATGATATCTGCTTCAGTACCTATTGACTTCTGAACGGATACTCTGAAGGAGTGAAGAGCAACAACCAATCAGCTGGAACAGCACCCTACGGGGGAGGGACGCCACCGGGTCTATCTGCACCTATGGGCATGAACACAGTGACCAAAAGAGGAGGGCATCAGTACGGAAAATGTACCGAGTATGTAAGGCTAAATATAAAAATCAGAGATATAACATAAGAGATATGAGGGCATGGTTTCAACCTGGTACCGGGGACGAGCTACCGAGGGCATAAACTATAAGAACTATGAACTTAACAACATGCAAGCCTTAAAAGGGTTAAGCCACTCTGGGGGTTATACACTGAAGTTAATATAACATTACTTAGCCCTATTTTGGAGCATATCACTTCATATCGTACCCGGCCTCGTAGAGGACTTGGTAAGTTTCTTTCTTTTATCATATCGTATCCAGCCTCATGAGGTTTCGGTCGTACCCGGCCACATGAGGGCTTGGTAGTGTCTTATCTTACATTATCTCGTACCCGGCCTCATAGAGAGCTCGGTCGTACCCGGCCACACAAGGGCTCGGTAGCATTTCACATCGTACCCAACTGATCAGTGGTTGCACAATAGGTGTCGTTCCCGGCCGTCTATAGCGCGGCTCGGTAAAGTGTAATGGATACATACACATACAAGTAAAACGTAGAATCAACTTCAAGAAATATTAAGTTAGACTCATAACTAATTATACTTCCCGACCTCAGGATACCAACTGGGAACATTTTAGACTTGAAATAAATGCTACCAACAAGAATGTACAAGAACATAGCAACATCGTTGAGAGGGGTTAGAACTACCAAACCTTACAATGCAGGAGTCATTTAGGAGGAAGGAGGGACTTACACTAACTCGTGCCAAGAAAGAAAGTTGCCCTACATACCTTTGTTGAAGAACTAACTACGCTTCTATGGTGATTAATTTTGCCACTAACGAATCTTCAGAATCAATACCACCAGATGATAGATGTTACGACAACGATTCTCAGTTTCTTCAAGCTAAATCTTAACATAACCGTCTTCTAATTCAATTTAGGCTATTTTGGAACTTCAAAGGAGATGTGAGAACGTTTTTGGTGAATTATAGGGAGTGATACTCCTGGAAAAAATAAAGAGAATGAGCCTTACTGCATTTATATATGTACACCAAGCATTGGAAATTCCGCCGCTCCACATGCAAAATGGGTCGCCCCGCTTTGGCTGTCGTGCCGGGGGGAGACAGCTAGCGAAATCTGGTCGCATGCAGTTGCCTCCTCTGCTCGGTAACGCGTCACCATCTGATTGGTTGCGCTTAAACCTCATAGATCCTCCAACTTCATATGTGGGGTGTAACATCTTTACGTGCCAACGCTTCAGCAGATGCGAAGAAATTTATGTGCACGTCTTCCTTATTGGTGCCATGATTAGCAAATTTACAGTTTCTTGGAATCTATTGTAATGTTATCATCTGTTCGTTGAGCTACTAGCTCAAAGACGCACATATCTAACATCTGCCTGCAACACCTCCTAACCTAAAAGAGTATAAGGAACTATGCTCCAGAGTTTCTCTTAGGCATAACAAAGCTAATGCCTTAATGGGGGCATCAAATAGGCAACTTAGGCAATGAGCAGAGGCAAGAAGGAAAATGAGGAAATGCCTATAGGAATAATAAGACAGCAATCACTGCATAGCATGCAATTATGGAAGTACCACTACCACAAAAAAAATTTGGAAAACATAGTTAGAGATGTGTCCATTTCCTTAGAGAGGAGAGAATGTAGTTAGTTATGTGCAAAGCATCCGACTCTCTAGTCGGGTTTACTTATATAGTCCGCCAGCTGTTACATGCTAAGATGATTGGGCGAGTTGTATTCATTAAAAAAAAAGATGATTGGACGAGTTTTGGGTAGGGTTCTTATACAGTGCTCAATGTGCATGCATCAAGCAAATTGCCCTTCTTTCACTGGCATATGTAATGTGACTAATCAGATATATATACATCCACTGTGATGAGTCCATAAGAAACCTTTTTCTTCTACAGGTTATAAGGGAGTCTTTCAGAAGTCTTGGAAGAAATGAAGTTCAAGAATGCAGTGATTAGAGAAGGAACGGGACAGCTGATGTCTACTCTCTAGCAATTACAACCGCAGAAACAGTTCAACTTAGATGAAAAATAGACATAGTACGAAGATGAAATCAGTTGTCTGAGCCTCTCATTTCCTTTATCAACTCCACTGAGCTAGGAACACAGCACTCTACCTTCATCCTAGCTCAATGGAGTATATAAAGAAAATGAGAGGCTCATACAACTGATTTCCTCCTCGTACTAAGTCTAACATGTACAAGATATTATGAATTGAGAACCTAAAGAAACAAAAAGTTCAGAGACATAATTACAGTACATATACATTCTTAGTTGCTCTTTTGAAATATCTTAGTCCATAACAATGACCTAATCTGATTACAATGACCACTTTTAAGGATATCACATTCAATTGTTGTCTCAATCTGCTAAAGTTTTCTTCTTCACATCCAATGGCTCTCTATGAAGAAATAATCCAAGGTGACATTCATTTTAGCTACAATCAATTTAGTTACTACAAACATATTAAAAATATATCACATGCAATCAGAATAAACCACTTTTAAATTTCACACCCGAATGTTGTCTCTGTTGGTTAGAATGATTTCTTAATCAGAGACGTATGCCGTGTAGAAGCTGGGGTTCAATCGAACTCGTAACTTTCATTCATACCCTGTGTTTTTGCCCAAAAAATCATTAAATATGTACAAATAATAAATTTTGAACACATTAAAATAGATGAGATGTGGCAGAATTGCGAATATGAACCCATAAAGTTTAAATCCTGGATCCGCCTCTGTTCTTAATCACATAAAATGGTTGTCTATATCGCGCATGCAGTTAGATGAGTTCGGATAAATATTTTCTATCCACTACGGTCTTCGCAAATTGATCGGTTGCTTAAGAAGGAAACACAATGATAACAAAATATCATAATTGTCCAGCATCTGTGTGGGATAACCGAAATTTTAGTAAACAACATTACTGCACAATTTACTAACACGGCAAACAGTTATTACCTGGAAAAATCATATATCTGCAGAAAAGGACGAATTTTTACCTTACAAAAGGAGAAATGCCACCTGAAACATCAGAATTCATTTCAAGCCAGCAACTTTGTACCTCAACTTCATATTGTGGTTTTCCTGCCAGCGTTATTGTGAATACAAAGCTCAATCCACCAATATCCTCACCAAAAAAAAAAAAAAAAAAAGCAAAGACAACTATGCCTCAATTCAAAGCTAGTTCGGTTCTACAAAATTCATACAGAAGATGAAATCCAAATGTTACAAATGTTATTTCTTCCTTTCTAATTTATCAGATGTGTTTGACTGAGCGGAATTTAGGGAAGGAAGACAAACTTTTATAATTTGTGATCTCATTAAGCCATAAATATTTATGTGACTAGAAATCATCTCATTGAGTTAAAATATGAAGTTTAAAGGTAAATTATTTCTAAATATTGAAATGTGCCATTTTTCTCGAGATCGACTAAAAAGGAAATACTATCACATGAGTATACTACAACTCAACTAGATCCCAAACTAGTTGGGTCCACAATCCATACAGAACCCAAAATCCAACTACTACTCAATCCCAAACTTTATTCATGCATACAGCATACCTGCTCAAGAACCTTAGCAGAACTCGTTTCCACCAATCTAGCCAAACTATCAAGCTTAACAAGCATTTTATCATACAAATGCTCCAATTCAACAGTATAATTTGAAGCATCTGAGCCCATCAACTTGTTCAATCTCCCAATCTCAAATCCTTCAGCACATAAATCCAACTCCTTCTGATCCTTCAAACCCCTTTTAATACTCAACAAAGATTCCACCTTTTCATCTTCAGCCATTGCATTTGGACCCCTTAAGTCACATGAAATTAAAGGAAATGGTGAATTAGGACTAAAAGAACCATAATGGGATCGAAAAGATGGACCAATGTTGATAATATCTAAACTTTTTGGGTCGAATGAATCAGTGGAAATACGGTACTGAAAAGCTTTGTACTCGTGGGTATGTATCAGCTGTTCATGAAACGGCGTCGTTAACAGAAGGAACAAAGAGGGGGGCAGAGAAAGTAAATACGGAGCATTTTGAGGGGTAAAAGAGTGAGAAGCAGAGGAAGTTAAAGAAAGGGTAGTTGTAGAATCCTTTAAAGAGGGTCTTAAAGGGGTTTTTCGGCGACCGGAAAACCAACCAAGAACGGCGGCGGAAGGATCATCAAGCTGGTGTAAAGGGAGGGGAAAGTGGGAAGGGATAGAGAGAAAATCGGTGATAGTGGCGGTACGAATTGGGCCGTCGTCGGAGGCGATGGTTACGGCGGTGGAGGTAGTGGCGGGGTCGTCGGAAAGAGGGATGGTGGTGGAGAATGACACGTGGCCGAATAATAGGCCGTGGATGTCGCCGGAGGATGAGAAAAGACGGTGGAGGATAGAGGCTAAAGTAGTGCCGGAGATTTGAATCTTGTGTATAGAGAGATCATCCATGATTTGCTGAAAAAATTTGGGTGAAGCTAGAAAGTAATAAATTGGTGGTGACCAAATTGGATACAGAAAACGGTTTTTGTATTTTCAAAAGAAACAATGCGACCTGTAATCTGTATATGCAATACGATTTGTTTTTTTTTTTTGGTATCGCTCCAATTTTATTGGATATTGAGTCAGTCACTTCAATCTAATCTGTGTTAATTTGTATTTGTGTTGAGTTTCTTTTTTAGAATGTTCCTAAAAGAATAATATATTTTTAATAAATTTTTTGTATTTCAAACTTTTTAATATATTTTTAATAACTAATCTTAGGGTAGTGTAATTATATTAATAAGAATAAACGTTTTGATAACAACATAAATAATATTCAAAAAATATTTTTGAATTGTAAAATAAAAAATTAACAAAAAAAAGTTTCTTAAAGATAATTATTGTTCGTATTTATATTTAGGGCTTTGCATCAACTACAAACTTCGGGTTTAAATAAATTTTTTTTTTAAAAAGAGAATAATCACTCTATTAAAAGAAATTCTTATTATATCCTTTCAAATAAAGCCTTACGATGTATCTTAGTAGCTCGATTGGTTGGCTAATTAAAAGAAATTCTTATTGGTGAGGATTTGATTTCTACTTTATAATCGGCTTCCCATTTCCCTTCTTCTACCTCCAATGTAATAAATAAATAAAAAATGAAGCATTGCATGTTTCAAAATTTTTGGTTATCTCAAAGAAAATGAAACAGTAAAGAAAATAAACAGGTAATAGGCCTATCTCACACTACAACTATTTAGATGAGAACTTTTTAATCAATAGGCATACTGTTTGATTCTTAGCATAATGTATTCATTTTTGTTGTGATTTAGCCAATGTAATATAGGTAGAAAATATTAATAAAATTTTTTAAATATTTTTATTTTCGAAATACAAAGGGAAAAAGGACGAAAAGTCACAAAAAAATCAATTTATAGGCATGTGGTACATATGTTACATCCTCTCTTCCGCAATTTCATGTATAAAATTTCTACCATATCTTTCTTTAAGTCTCCTAGCAAACTCATTAATACTTCGTTGGTCTTCCATAATTTATGAACAAATAATATAAAGTTGCTAGAAAATAAAATTTTCTTTTGCTGTCAGAGTTAAATTCGGTATCATTAATAAAAATCATCTTCGCCCTCTTCCCCGTCCCTTCCTCATCATTGTCAACATCTGATTTGCTTTTGAGTCGGAGAACTGTTAAATATATTTGTATAAAACATGCAATTCACTTCTCAAATTTATTTAGTAAAGAGATTCCTTTGCAAACATGATTATTCAGTGATATTCTATTACAAAACTGTCTATAAAATTTTAGTTAATTTTAAAGTCCTAAATCTTGGGCAAGAGATTTTTTTTTATAAAATCTTGATTTAAAATCCAAAAATATTAAAACTTTCCAATATCCTTAATATTACAGCATAGGGTTCATGCCTTTGTCACTGAAAGTTAGAAACCAATTCCAACTAACTAAGCTAGAGGCAAATAACTATGCTCCAAAAGAATGAACCCAATAACTAAAGTTTTAGGAAATTTAACCTTGCAAGTAGAGGTTGGACTCCTCAATGATAAAAGTGCATATCAGTGTAGATAAGTGTTTAAAACTAATAAGATCGTGAGACAGATAATTAGAAATTTACAACAAACTTTATGTCTTCGTAATTTGTGTAGTCAACCAAACCAAAGTTTCTGATATGAATAATAAGATTTAGAATTATACACATAAGCACAGTCAAAGACAAGTGATTGCGTTCCTTGCATATTAATTTTTATGGGAATAATAGGGTGGAGTTATTTGTGTTGCTAGAATTAATCGGTTAGAACAAAGACTCCTAAACTAAAAAGAATTCTAAGTTCGAACTTTTCCTACTTTGATTTTTATTTATTGCTACTTTTCTTTACAAATATGGTATATCACATAGTGCAAATTAGAGAAAATTTAACATATTAAATCTAATTAATTTCAAATGCTTAAATATTAGGAAAATAATTAAAAGGCTATTTCTAAATATTAAAAAAATAATCAAATAACTATTTTATCCAATGTGAACTCTTATTTAAAAGGATAAAAAGGGCGAATGATATTTCGATAAGGGCCTTCGTTCATACGCATAAAGATTTGGTGTTATTTAATCATACTTTAATTATTAAATTTATATAAAGTAAAACTTTAATGATTTTAAAGTCCTAATTATAAGGACTTCTTACTTAATTCAAATAAGCAAAATTTAATAAGTAATAAATCTGATTTAATTTAATACTCCTAAATATTAGTTAGGAGAATAATCAAATGACTATTTTGTCTAGTATGAACTCTATTTTAAAAGGGTAAAAAAGGCGAACGATATTTCGTTAAAGGTATTCGTGCTTTTACGCTACTGGTCATAGGGTGCATGCTTTACGTGTATCTCACATATCAATAAATATATTATTTAAAAAAATAATAAAAATATTATTAAATAATGTGTTTGAGTTATAAAATAAAAATTAAAAAATAATTTAAATCCTTAAAAATGATGAATCTCTTTTAACTAATTTAATTAAAAAAAAGGAAATCTTGTCTCGCAGAATTTTCCAAATGCGTTATTATGATTCCTTAAGACTTTCTTGGTAAATCAAACAACAACAACAACAACAACAACAACAACAACAACAACAACAACAACAACGGCCTAGTGAAATCTTACTAGTGGGGTTTGGGGAAAGTAGTGTGTACGCAGATCTTACCCCTACCCCGGGGGAGTAGAGAGGCTGTTTCCGAAAGACCCTCAACTCAAAAAGACGAAACATAAAAATACTTTACCTCGATTCATCAAAAGTTTAATTAAAGTGACAAGCATTCAACTTAGTTCATAATACGCTAGATTTGAATAATTTTTCTTTGGACTCAGTTTAACATATCTTACCAAGTTAATTTAAACTTCTAAAAGTTATTTTTATATTATGATTTAGCTGCTCATCTCATAGTGATTTTATTTGATTCTTGTTAATAATTAATATTCGTTTGTATAAACTTTATCTCAAATTGAGTTCTTTTTCAAGTACACTCAAGGGTGTCATTAATGACTTACTGTAATGACTCGACCAGTCATTTTGAATATTAGACACCCATTACCCTATTTGATATTTCCCATAGGTTCATTTGATGATATGTGACTTGTAGGGACGGGTGATTTGGTTTTTGTGGGGTTCGGGAGTGAATTGGAATATTTACACTCTGTTTGGATCATTGTTACCCATTTGTTTTAAAGTATCGTATTGTATCGTATCGTATTATTTTATGAATACAACATTTGGATAGATTGTATTGTTCGCTGTTGTTAAATAATATTTTTTATGTTTGGTTTGACTGTATCGTGCTATACTATAACTGATAAATTTACTAAAATACCCTCAATTATTTTAAATATTAAATTTTTAAGAATTACGCATAAAGATAAGTAAGGGACAAATTGGTAAAGGGAAGAACCCGGTGGTTGATAAAGAAACAAAGAAAGAAACGAAAAAATAAAGAAAACAGGGTAGAAAGGAACAAAGAAACAAAGAAAGGGCCGAACCTATTCTTGTTATCTTTGACCGTGGAGTTGGCAACGGCAGAACCAGTTATGAAAAAAAAAAAAAAAAAAAAAAAAAAAAAAAAAAAAAAAAGACGAAGACAAAGTAAGTTATAGGTTAGAGGTTTGGAAGTTTAAAAAAAGGTAAAAGGTAAAATAGAATTATGGAGTAATAAATTAAGGCATAATTGAAAAAAAAATAGGAAACAATCCCACCACACCAAATCGGCTGTTTCAAAAAATAGGACTTTTCATTATTCCGAAATAATAAATTTAACAATATAATATAATTAATTTTAACTAAACAATCAAAACAGACATTGCTTTGCGATAACAATATAATACAATACAATGGGTAACAACCATCCTAACAAGCTGTTAATTTCTATTTGAAAACTTTAAGTTGTAAGAGTTGACCAATCTCGCCACTACTTCGCCGAGGTTAGTCTTGATAATTACTAGTATATTGGGTCGGTCGTACTCATACTATACTTGTGCATATTTTTATGCAAATCCAGGCGTCGGCTAGCAGAGTTGAGGAGTAGATCATTGCAGTTCTAGGAGACTCGAGGTAGTGCGACATGTTCATCCGCAAACCTCGAAGTCACCTTTTTCATGTTTTAAGATTGTTGTTTACGTAAGATAATATTGTATTTATTTCAGACTGTTGAATTTTGATATTTTTAGAGCTCATGTACTCGTTGATATAAGTTTCTGGGGCATTGTATTACTGTGACGCATATTAGTGCTGGTTTTAGACTTATTTATGATAGAAATATTTATTAGACTTGTTATATTTCTTCATTTCTATTGTTCATTCGATTGTCGTGTGATTGGTTCGCCTAGCTGGCATGTTAGGTGTCATCATAAGCATTGGTGGGATTTTGTATCGACAACTTGATATCAGAGCCTAGATTGCATAGGTCCTACGAGTCATGAGCATCTCTAGTAGAGTTTTGCGGATCGGATGGAGACGTCTATATTTATTTTCGAGAGGCTATGAGACATTTAAGAAACTTCACATTCTTTCATTCTCTACCATGTGATTTTGATTTATCCCGAAATTTAAATTTTTACCCTTTTATTCTCTCACAAATGGTGAGGACATGTGCGTCAGCCGTAGCTGAGCAAGAATTGGATTGTCGGGTTGTGGTGGCCACTAAAGGTAGAGACTGAGGCAGGGGCAAAGCTAGAGCCCAGACTAGAGCACGTGCAACACCACCTACAGCTACTCACGCTCGTGCAAGAGCGGCATTAGTTGAGCCACAAATAGCTCCGGATAGTGAGTAGATTCCAATTCAGGATGAGTTGGTAGGACCAGCTCAGGCCTTAGAGGAGTTCATTGCTATCCCAATGTATTAGTAGAAAATAAACCCACCACGTGGACTAATATTACAATGACATGTGTCATGAAAGTTAAAACAATAAAGATGGATGATGTGCAAAGAATATATGAACAATACCCAAGGGATCACTTATGAAGATACTATGCATGCTAGTCTTAAAGTTGAATAGAAGAAAATAGGTCAATGTTGATAATCAAGACCATTGAAAGTCACATATGAGGAA